TGGTGAGGTGATTCTCATGGTCTGGAGGCCTGTTTGGAGAGATACATGGAATCAAAAGTTGAAAAGAAGAGCAGTTTGCAGTGGCAGAATGAGAAGATGCAGGTGAATGGGTGATCAGATAGAGCTGGACGTAGATAAGAGACTGAGGAGAACTTTGTGGTCTGCTCTACAAGTCTAATGCACTCTAGAGAGGAATACAGAGTAAAAAATTAAACATGGCAACATGGAAAGCAAAAAAGACCTGTAAGATAGTTCAGGAAGAAACAGAACTAGGACAAAGTGGAGGGATGATAGAGAAGGGATCAGACTTAGGAAAATTAGCTGAAAAGATGGATAGCAATGTCAGCACTGATGTTCAGATTTTATTCAGTGTTGTCGAAAGTTTAGATCTACTTAATTTTTCTAAGCAAAAGAAAAAAAAGTAGTATCTCATCAAAGGTATGCTTAAAGACATAGTAGATATTGTTCAAGCTTTTTCACTCTTGTTTCCAAAAAAGTAACTTGGATACAAGACTGGTTTTTAACTTCCCTCTTTAGTGAATTAATGCATTGGTGACATCAGCTGCATTTTTTGTCAGTGCAACACAGTCAATATGAGCTTCTCTTTCTTTCTCCATGTATTGAACTTTTTAATTTTTTTTTCCCCCTGTTCCCTCTATGGTTTTCTCTTTTTCAATGACTTTTCATTCAACTGGAAGCTTCATAGCAATTGTGGTGGTTGCTTGTCCACGGTGACATCCATAACTGAGCTTTGTGCCGTGGGAACACAGAGGATGTATGATTGTCAAGCTCAGCAGTTGTAGCCATAGATGTGAGCTGTGCCTGCTGCCAGACACTTAGGGACCACCACAAGAGGAGGGAGGGAAGGATTTCAAGAGCCACCCACAGTGTCTATATGCCTTTGCTTTAGGAAACATGGATATAATTAAGTCTTCTCTTTTAACTGTGCTGAGAAAAAATATTTCAATGAAAAATGTATTTTTATATATATGTGTATTGAATATATATGTTGATTATCCAACTCCTGCAAACACAGTGTAAGGGGCATTGTCAGTAGTAGAGCAGTTTGAATAGTGACATTAAAACACTGATAGTGAAAATTATCCTAGTAAAATATTGTGTCAATATTAGTTTGGAGAGTTACAGACTATGGGTAGCTGTTTAGATACTGCATTTTATTTAAATTAGCTTATGAAACTATTTATTCAAGGCTTTTATTGTTTGTTGAAGTGCTCCAAAAAAGAACTTGAGCAGTTATTATTCCAACCCATACTTCCCTGTCTCTCCTGAAACTGGACCTTTATTCCATTATGCATAATGCTTTAATGAGCACTGCACAGTGCTCACCTTTCTGGATTGCTAAATAGTTTCATCTCCTTAAACTATTAATTGGAGGAAAACTGATGGATAAAAGTGAAAGGCTTTTTCTCATCTGCATTGTTAGAAAAAAAGAGTGGTTTCCACTTTGAGTCTGTCCTTTAATTCTTCAGATTGCAAGGACTGCAGTCTGGTGTTTTTTTTTAGTTCTGTGTTTTTTTGGCCTTAAGCACCTCAGTGGAATTGTTGCAGAGTGTAATAGTTTGGAACCCATTCGTCAAAATGCAAATCAAACCATTTATACATTGAAACACACATCAAGCAATATCTACATTACTGATACTGCTCAGAAAGTGTGAAGAAAAGCAGTACTTTGAATTAGAGGAAGCCTTGAGAAGCCAATGTAGTACTTAACTTTTGGCAATTACGTTAATAACCTTAACTGTAAAGGACAAGCTGTTCCTCTAGAACAGCAAGGAGAATGGCTACTTTTATTACTAGTAAACTTCTTAAAGAATAATAAAACATGAAGAGAACCTTCAGAGAAGATGCTCTTGTTTCACCTTATTATACTCCCACTGCAGGACTGTGCAGTACTTGATTCTGGAAGACTATATTGGAATTGATGTAAAATAACACTAATTTTCTGTCTAAATGAGCATTTAGACAGCAGTTGTTTTGAATCAGATATATCCTCATTAGCTGAGTAGCTTTTCTTTTTCCCTGGAGCCTATTTAGCTGTTTCAAAGGCAGTGATTGTGTGGCAACCGAAATGGTAGGACCGAGTCATGGCAGAAAGTGCATCAACTTGCATTTTAATATTGATGTATTTAATCAGTTTCAATTATTTTTCCTTGTTCTGATCCTCATGAAGTTTGGGAAGCAGTGAAGTCCTACTTGTCATGTTTAATAAAGATTAAAATTAATATTCTCAAACACAAACTAAGCCAGTAATAACTTCCTCTGCATTGCAGCTCACTCTTAGTATCTTTAAGGCATGTTATTATTTGTTTTTTAGTTATTGCAATAAAAATTATTATTCATCCATTATACAGCAGTTCAAAAATGAAAGACACTTCAGTCTGAGATGTTACTATGGGTAAACCTATTAGTACTTTTTTTTTATTTACTGTATTTCTATCATTTTTGTTTCCTTAAGTTCTTCTAAAGGCTGCATACAATTGAAGTTGCACTTGGGAGTTCTGTGGTTGTGTAGCTATTCATGGACCTCCTGGAGTTATTTGGAATCCTTACTAGAAGATAGGCAATTTTATTTCAGTTTTCAGTCTTTTAAAGTAAAACTTCAAGTGCTGTAATTTGAGCATATTAAAACTGTTTAGTCCTTAGTTGTGTTCATCTCCTGTTGGGGTGGGGTGCACTTGGCTTTGTTTTTGTGTTTGTTTCTCCCTAGTTGTTCATAATTAAAACTGAGACAAGCTGGTCATGTAGCATTTGGAGAATGTTTAATTATTCTAATCTTGATCCTAGCATCATGGAAGAGTGGCATTTATTTTTTCATTTCTTTTTTCAGCCTGTGTTG